CGACGGGGGCGAGCCCAGCGGAACTTGCTCTTGGGCGACGCCTGAGGACGACCCTGCCAACTCTACCGTCAAACCTAAACCAACAGGTCTACGAAGTGGCAAAGATTGCAGCCAGAGACGCTGAGTCGAAGCGTAAGTACAAACAAGCTTTTGACAGACGTCACGGAGCCCAGAACCTCCCGGAGCTGAATCCTGGTCAGCTCGTCCTGCAGAAGCTGGAGAACGACAAGGAGTGGCGTGGCCCTGCGGTTGTCAAAGAAAGGTGTGCACCGAGGTCTTACATCATACAGTCTGGGGATAGGGCTTACCGCCGGAACCGCAAACACCTGAAGCCCTACGTCGACCCTCCTTCCATGCCTTCTTCACCTGTTGCCACCCCAGAGCCTACTCCAATGTCCGTTCCCTTACCTCCGCCACCAGCTGTCCAGCCGGTGGAGCCTGATGTCTCACCACCATCACCTCAGCCAGCTGCCGTTCCAGCCAGTCCAGCTCCGATAACTACACGAAGTGGACGAGTGGTCAGGAGACCCGCTCGTTACCCGGACTGATGTTCTTGCGACCCAGTCGTATCCTTTCGATGACAAATTTTACTTTGTATTTATTCTTTGCTGATTACCCAACAGTTGTGTAGACTTACCTGTTCGAAGTAATTTATTTTCTCAAGTTCGTTATCGGGACGCTATGCTGTTCTATGAATGTGACAAAGACAATTTGAAATGTGGATATTATGAAATACCAAAGAACTTTATTGAAATGTGTTACAAAGTTCTCAAGTGCAAGCCCGGAATCTTCAAAGACAATTGAACTCTGTGTGTGAATTTTGTTAAAGTTAGAACATTCCCCTTTGAGAGACTCGAAGCCGATAATCTTTAATCCATTTTGGGGTTTTCCTTTTTCTTCAATATTAAAAGGGGAGATGTCACGGTAGTCACCGTATTGTACCTTACTCTTTTTTACTCACGGGACGTAAGCCCCCTGTATGCCATGGGCTCTTGGTTAATGTTACTCACTTCGGGGATCTATAAAAAGTCAGACACTACACCCGGTCTCTATATATATATATTTAGAATGCTTGCTGTCGTGTGTGTTCGTCTCTAGTTCTGCTGTCGTGTGTGTAGACTAACATTACTCTACGTTCGCTCCAGCCGCACAACGCCCCTGGCATACAAGAGCAAGATGCTCCCATAGGCGTGAGCACGCCTCCAGGCGGCCCTCGGCGATCGGCGAGACTGTTGGCCAGACAGAGCCCTAAGCCAATTGACTCTAAATCTTATTCTGATTCAGATCATTGATCAATCATTTATTCCTTGTTGTATCACCATTATTTCTTGACATTTCATCAGTCTTTTCTGTTCTACTCCAAAGACTTGGGGGGCGTAGAGGAATATCATTCGGTAGCTACAAGACCACATGTATGTGCCATCATTCGTATCTGTTCCTTGTGTCCATTATTATTATTTCCCTTATTTGTCAATCGTATTCATCTGCTTTATTTCTGTTCCGTTTCTGTCCCAGTCATGCATCGTCTGACGTATGTCTTCACTGTGCTTGATTATTAAAAGTCTACGTCAAGTCACAAAGAGTGTTGACATTTATTTAATCTCTAGGTCTTATTTGATCAAAAATCGAATCAGGTTTCTTTCTCTAGAGCTAGCAATGTTGACAGCTCAGCATTGGCGGTCAGAAAGTAAGGGCTCTGGACTAACTAGCCCGCTGTGTTGTTCCCCACCCCACCACAGGGTGTGTTCCGTCTGCTTGCGCCCGTCACACATTCGCTCCATCCATCATAGCACTGTGAACTCTCCATCCCTGTATCGGAGAAGTGAGAGGCATGGTGGTAGGCCTAGATCGAGGCTACCAAAATAAATTCTAGACAAGGCTGGCCTATCACACAATGTGTTTTGTTTGTCTGTGCATGCCATACCCCCCCCCCCCCCCACACACACACTCAATCGCTCCGGCCTTCATTGTTGGCACACGTGGGCTCTTCCCTTTCTTTGTTTCGCTCAAGGAGTTGTAAGGTCCTTGGTTTCGCTAGATCACCAACAAGTTTCTCCTCTGGCGAGATTTTATATGTATGAGTATGACTGGCCTATGCGCTGTTCACAGCAGCGGGAATATTCCGCTATAGCCTACTCGCGTGTTTGTCTGATTGCACTGTAGCAGTATTTTATTTACAAAGATAAAGAAAGGGAAATACGAGGTTTTAGAATAGTGTCTTTATAACAGACTTTTCGTTATTTCAGGACTCGTTAAAATGGACTCCACTGTATCCTATCATGTAACAATGAAATGTGGAATTTTTTCTTTGCTGATTATATGATCATGGCAGCAGGCACTGGTCAAGTTAATTTCACACCTTTGGCTACCAAGGAAAGTTTGATCTATGCTGGAGTGCCACTCAGGCACTTTCACAAGCACTGGTGAGATTTCATACACCCGCACAACCTTGACCATCTGCACTGCTCAAGGTTCACATGGATGTTGTTACGTCTACTCTCAACGTGCATCCCTTTTCGTTTCATGCTCGGTGGCATGGCATACAGGTTAGAGCCTAGAGCCGATGGAACCAACTTTAAGAGTTTTGTTTCAAATCATGGCTGAGTGAGCAAAGCATTGTCTATTTTAGACAGGTATAAATCCACAGAGGTTCGACTGCATATAGTCAAAGTCTAAAGGCAAAGAATTCTTAAAATCAAGACTACTTTATTAGTGAAGAAAAATTAGAGTTTAAGAATCATCAAGTTTGATCAAATCTGTCTACTCTGTTGACATACAATGTATATATATATATATATATATATGTATGTAAGTAAAAAGTAAAGTAAAGTTGTTCCCGCATCCGGTCCGGACATTGGGGATTGCCTTCTTAGTTAGACGACTTCCTGGGCCTTCAGCATATTTTTCTGGTAGGGTGGCCATTTCCTTTCCACGCCACCTTTACTTCCCTAACATTACTGCTGGGTGGACAGGAGGGGAGCAAAAAAAATTGGTGTCCAAACCGAGGCTTGAACCCGGACTTTCCGCTTCGGAGACGAGCGCACTAACCACTTCGCCACCGCACCCTCTATCTATGTATGTACATTATAATCAGAGCTGGTTGTAACGAAGTACCTTGTACTTATGTTACAATTTTCGGTAGTTTTACTGTACTCCGGTACATTTTTGAGAGCCAGTACTTTTACTGTACTCCGATACTTTTTATAAAATTACTTTTTAAAAGTATTTTAAAGTACATTTTGAGTACTTTTGAAGCTTAATGAAAGGGTAAGTGCAAGCATTTCTGATCATAATTTACGGAACAAACATCCGGGCAGGTACAGCCGATCAACCAAGAGTTAAAATAAGTTGAGATCAAAGAACGGCCCGTCGCGTCAAAGATCAGCCAATCTCGTGAATGTGATCACAAGCGTTGTAAAACTCCATGAAATGGTACAATGTTTGCCGCAGACGGGATTACACCAAGGTGTGAACTGACCGGTGGGTTTCTTTTCCCCAAACATCGCACGCACTCGCATCTGAGCTCGCCACCTAAACTTACATCACTCGCTGGGTGGGTAGGCCTCGAGGCTACCAAAATAAATCTTTAGTTCCGGTATCGGTATCCTCGGTAAGCCTACAAGTTCGCTCCTGGCGGGATCACATCAAACTGTGAACTCTTCCCTGACCATTGAAAGCAGTTTTTCTCTATTCCCGAATTTGCGAGACAGCCTGAATTTTAATTGGTGTTGTCACAACGTAATGAGGCGTAACGACAAAGGCGGGGGGACTCAATCAGAGATTCAAAGCTAAAATTGTTGGACAGGTAAAGGAGAGGGGCAACTGGATAAACGTAGATAAATATCTCAAGACTCGCAATATGCTAAAGAGTGTATGGCATGCCTCATGCCACTGTGATTGGTCATCAAGGTTGACCACTCTTTGCTCGCCATATGTCATAAACCCAGCCAGGGATCACGTCAGTTCATGGGTCACTGTACATTCTTCCCTGGCTTCGTCGGCTAAGATCCCGTATTTTCCTTGCTTCCGAGCACTGGGATCTTAGGCGGAGACTACTGACATGTGAGACTACTGTAGTAGAGAATCTTTGGTTACACTACACTTAACTAGACTCTAGGAAACTACATTATTTTGGTTTGCCGTGGGCGCTGTGGACTACACAGTGTGACCAAAATCTGTCTTACCACTAACACTATAATCAATTGAAACTGAAACTGAGTTCTCGATGCATATCTAACAATTTTTTAGGCTATCTAAATTTCTTTTAAACTCTTTTTGGGTGGATTTTGCTTAAAAGGCTACATTGATTCCTAGAGGATTTGTTAATGAAGAATTCAATGCACTTTTCCATTTCTACGCTAGCCATTTTCATCAATTTTATGTTTTCTTTTAAGAGCAACTTTGTATCTACATTTTCCATTTCGGATACTTTTCCGGTAGAACTTTCCGACCTCTTAGACTGACTTACATTTGATCGCATTGTCTTGCTCAAACAAGTTCTATTCATAATATTTCTCTTTCCCACTAGTTGCGTCTGTTTGTTGTTGTTTTTTTCAATTTCAAATTTCACGGACCATTTCCACCGAGTTTCAGTGCGTACATTGTATATTCAAATGCTTTGTATACTGTTTACATTTTTAGTAATAAATGACCTAATTTGTCAAATATACTGGATATGTCATTCAATATGATGTTTTGCATTAGCACTGAAGTGTTTTAGCATATTACCAGAAAATACTCAAAATGTACTCTTAAGTACTTTTTAAAAAAGTAATTGTACTCAAGTACATTTTACAGGAAAGTACTTTTGCTGTACTTAAGTACATTTTTTAGATTGTACTTAAATTTGTACTTAAGTACTTTTTAAAAAGTACTTTAACAGCTCTGATTATAGTATTATGCACTCACCTCTTGTTTAAATCAATTACCATTTCTCGACCTGAATCCAGTCACATTTTCGCCGCACCCCCCCTCCCCTTCCCCTTTCATGTTTTTTATAGACAAAGAAGAGGGAGAATGGAGGAATAAAGGCATTGCAGTTTCAGTGGCTGAACCATGGCAGGTAAAGACGTTGCTCGGGTTGTGAACAGGTGCAATGATGCTAAAGAAGATCAAAACCTAGGTGAGTGCCACAGGAAGGAATTTATGTCCTTTCCTACATTTGACTTTTGGCCAGGAAGTCCTAGTTAGTTTACTTTTATCTTGGCTCTATATCTCTCTCTTCCCCCTCCTCATTTTTATAACTATAGTTTTTAATCCGAGTATGATAAATTAAAAGGTGTGTGTGGGGGGGGGGGGGGGCACACATTGTGTAATATTCTTTTAGTCCATATTCATTTAATTAGGGTACAGTGCAGCTTTTTTATAATGATCTTCGATATAACGACATCCTCCGTATAGCAACATCGTGCCCAGGTCCCGATTTTTTCCCTTATATATCATTAGTAATTTTTGGTTGTCTCTCTATAACCACAACTCTCTATATAATGACATTTTTTTTCTGCTGCACTGTTGTTTGTTTTTGCTCGAGTTTTCAAATGGGAGGGGTGTCATGTCAATGTATGAGTGTGATGAAAAAGATGGGGTGAAGGAGTTGTCTATGTATGTTAGAAGAAGTCATTTATGCTGTCAGAGAATGGAGGAGGGTATAAGTATTGCCATCGTGATAGCCTTTAAAGAGATTGTTAATCTATAGTCATGATAGTCATGAGATATAGTTAAAGTCATGATAGTTGTAGGGCAATGATTCTTTTGCAGCGATAATAGGTAGCATTTGTATAGCGCAAATCCCTGCTCAACAGCAAGCTCTATGCGCTTCACAATCTATACTATTACCCCAGCAGACCTGAGAGCATTCTGATAGAGAGTTGGGGGTGAGAGTGTTGTCTGTTGTAACAGTAACAGGTTTGAAAGTTGGGGGGGGGGGGTATAGTCTGTTGTTGTAATTTAATGAAGGTATAGTGATTGTGTACCAGCATATGAATTAAGAAGCAAAGGGAGAAGTCTTATTATTTTTAGAGCAAGAAGTGGGGGTGATTCTTAAGTTGTAATCAGAATCACATGGTCTGTTTTCATTAGATATGGGGGGGTGGGGTGGGGTGGGGCGGGTATTAGTCTGTCAAAAATGAATTAATATTTGGGTAAGTGTGTGTGTGTGTGTGTTTTGGGGGGGGGGGGGGGGGGGGTGATGCATTCCGTCCTGGAGATGCAAGTCTTTTTTTTCTTCCAGGCTCCTTCCACGAGAACTGAATATTTCTGTAGTAATGGCCTCGCATAAAATCTTGTAACATTTCTATTAAATGCAGTCTATCCATGCTTGTTTCATCATTTGCATGATAGATATCTACATTTCCTGCCTGTTTGAAGTAGAGAATATCTGGGTTTTTTCAACAGAATATTTTGTATTCATAAAGTTTCTAACTGATTGAGTAAATAGTGTTCAAGGAATGTAGCCTCCTGTATCGCCTTTTATGAGGGGATCAAACTAACTGCACTGCACACAGGAGAGATGTACATTACATTGGTATTTACTATTTGCTCACCAAGTTTGGATTGAAATCATTTTTCTCATATGAAGGAGGCAGACATAGACTAAAACAGGTGTGCTATTCCATGTTAATTATCACATGGTGTCTGTAAGGTGTGCAGCATGCACTCGGAACTTTCACATCTTTCATTCATATTTTAAAAGACTGGATGCTATTTTATATATATGTATATTATAAACTGAGGAATGTGAATATCCAGCTTTTGGGAAATTCCATGCACATGTTAGAGACTATGGACTCTTTCCTTTCCTACTTATGTACACACAGAAATGGACCTTTAGACATGATTGTTTATTATCTTTGATTTGTGTAGAATTATTCTTCGCTCGTAATTGTGTTCTATAATAGGTACCTGAGAGAATTGAAAACTCATGTTCCCCCTCATAAACAAATAAGTATCACATGCGTAAATTACTTGTGTAATCAGGTCCTTTCAATATTTTCTCCCCAGATTTATCTGCCTGTCAGCTTACTCAGATGCCTGATGCTGTGTTCTTATTGATGAAAAATACTGTGCTTCAGTCATGCAACCTTGCTGAAAATCTCCTACGAAAAATTCCCCCCAAATTTCCTCGAGCTTTCACATCACTCACAGGTATTATTATTTATTATAAAGATGTTGACCATGTGGCATCTCCGTTTACTATTTGATGCAGCTTTAGCGGCTGTTGTGTATCAGTTTGCTTTGTTCAAGGTAAAGAAAATTGTTGAAAATAGGAAATAAGCATACAAAAGAGTGAGAGGAAAGGCTGTTGATTTGTGGACGAATTTTTTTCGGGAAGGCGAAATGAGATGATGACTTGTTCGCAGTTCAAAGGTCTTTGGGGCCACAAATTCAAATAAATATTAACATATTTTACACCGAAATTTTCAGTATGATTTGTAGAATACATCTGTAATGTTTATTTTGTGTATTTTTCAACTTTGGTTCCTGTAAGAGGCAATTATGCAACACAATTTTGCTTGGATTCGGATAAAATTTGAAAATAAAAAATTTACCATCTCCGGTGAAACTCAAAAAATATGTTTGCACTGAGTCAAATGATACATCAAAATAACCATAAATGAATATAGAACTGGAAAATATTGAAAAATTTGTAGTTATTTATATACATTCCATAAAATTTGCACATTTGGATCATGACATCCAACATTGAAAAAAATGATATTACATTTTATAATCTTGAAAAATGGACAAGATGCATTCACAAACAGAAAAAAACCACTCGTATTGTTGGAATTATTCAGAATTGCATTTGGAATAATCCTACACATGTCTTGAGTGGTACTTTTTGTGTAATTGCACCACAAAAATGGTGATTTTTCGGAGAAAGAAATGATTTGACAATTTAGATGTAGATCTAGATCTAGCACTGAAAAATATTGATTTCTCAATAACAGAGCAATGGCAATTTGAGCCCAATCGTATCAATATTCTAAAGAAAAGTCGTAAATTTCTTTAGTGTGGAAAATAATGATATATTTTGTTGTGTATAAGTAGTAAGACTGGTGTCTAGGCTATAATTTGAGCATTGCGATAAAACAGTCGCGTAAACTCCGAAATCGTGTTTCAAAACTGAATCAAGACTTCCGATTTTCTGTGTAAACGCTTGACCCGGAAGTCAACATTATATTATGAACTTTATTTTAACATGGATATGTGGATTGGAATAGAATCTATGCCAAAATAGAACGTTGGTTTGCGAACCGCCAGGGGCGGCTTAGTGTACTGACGGCACTTTAGTCGCGCCACCCAACAGGGCTCGGCGTAGCAAATGAGTTAAATTTCTTCTTTATATTGTACAAAAAAATGAGGGGAAAGGCTGAATTTTAAAAATTTCTTCTTTTTGTGCAGAGGACTGGTGCATTTGTTATGAGGAGGACCCAAAGGAAGTATTTTTGTCTTTTTAACAGCTCAAGCAGAGTAGATAAACTAATGTTCTTTCTACTTATCCCTTTGTCAAAGATTATGGAGACGCCACTGGTCACCTGGCAACCTGTTCTCTCCATGGTTCTTTGTTTTCTGTTTCTCTCAGGACTCAGGGCATCACTCAGCCTCTTAATAATGGGATGCTGTTTTCCAATCTCTTTTTCTGCATGCCTGGCCTTTTCCCTCCCTGAAGTATGCCCTAAAGGATTGTCTTGGCAAACCATTGTGATCAGGAGATGTACCCATACCTCTTGGTTTGCTTTTCTTCACTGTGATTAAGACTTCATATTGTCTTATTACTCTTACAAGCTTGCCTGATTCTATTTTTACTTCATCATTGGTGATATGTTCCTTGAGTTTGTAAAAGCATCCCATCTCTAAGGCATCTATCCTCTGTTCGATGCATGCTATCGGGATTATCTCACAAAAATATATTGAGAAGCCAAAGGGTTGCACCAGTCTGATCTTTGAGCTTAGTCTGATATTCCTCCAAGGGGTCTTCATGTTTGTCAATGTTTTTACTTTCTGTGCAATCCTGAACAGTGTGTGTCATACCTTTGTTAGATGTAAAGGTTTTATTTGAAAAAAAGCAAGAACCAACAAGTATAGCAGTTAATTCTTACCATCATCAATATAAACTGCCTGTATTCTGTCATTTTTCAGGTGTGTGAGAAAAAAAACTTTTTTTGTGTGAGAGTAAGAGAGAAAGGGAAAGACTGTGGGTTGACAAGAACGTGTGGATGTAGATATTAACTATGCCACAGCAATTTCCTTTTTGCTTTTGTGATGATTACACACTATTCTGTGACAACTGATTCTCAAAAATTTAATTGACTTTTGCTCCCTTAGAGCTCAACTTGAGTTACAACCACTTGTCCAGTTTACCGGATGAAATGACCCAAATGGAGCAGCTGAAGATGTTGGACCTGTCTCACAATCATGTCTCGACTTTGCCAAATGTTGTTTATGAACTGAACAGCTTGGAAAACCTCAACGCTGAGCACAATTATATCAAAGGTACAGTGGAATCCTGTTATAACGAGAGGGAGGGGACCGGAGCAAAATGTCCATTATAGCAGGATTCTCGCTATAAGGGATCCAGTAATGAACTCAAGGGAAACTGTAAAGTAGGCTCAATCTATGAGTTTGGTGTTCTGTTTATTTCCTTTCGCTATCTCCCCTGATGTTGATTTTATTTCAACATGACCTCTAGGTCTTACTTGATCAAAAATCGAATCAGGTTTCTTTCTCTAGCGCTAGATCTAGGGATATGGACTGAAAGCTCGGCGTTGGCTATCAGAAAGAAAGGGCTCTGGGCTAACTCGCCCGCTGTGTTTTCCCCCACCCCACCACACCCTGTGGTGCATTCCATCTGCTTGCGCACGTCACACATTCCTTCATCCATCACATTGCTGTGACCTCTCTATCCCCGCATCGGAGAAGTGAGAGGCATGGTAGGCTTTGATCATCTAAACTAGGCTTACGCTGGCCTATCTCGCGATGCTTTTTTCCTGTCTGCGCATGCCACACCCTCCCCACTCATTCACTCCGGCCTTCATTGATGACACACGGGGGCTTTCCCATTCTTTGTTTCACAAGACCACTAACAAGTTTCTCAACTGGCGAGATTTTGCATTATGTATAATTGACCTATGCGCTGTGCACAGCAGCAGCAATATTCCGCTATAACCGACTCGCATGTTTGTCTGATAGCGCTATAGCAGTATTTTATTTACAAAGGTAAAGAAGGGGAAAAAAACGGGGTTTTAGAATAGTGTCTTTATAGTGACTTCTCGTTTTTTCCGGTCTCGTTATAAGTGGACTCCACTGTAGTAGACAAACAGTACATCTGCTTCATGAAAGAATCCAACCGTTCTTGAACTCTTTGTGCTCTAGTTTAAAGAATATCACTTAAATTGGCAAATCCTGTCCTTTCAGATCAAGTTTTTAAAATGTAAATTCTGATGTAAATTTAATATAAAAATTGGAGAAGAAGGAAAGGGGAAAAAATGATGACGAAGCATCAATCTGATATTGGCTTAACGTCTTTTTTTTTCTTCATTCCTTGTCCTTTTCAAATAAATGTCATACATGAGCATCAGTTGCCAGTGGTTTCTGTTATGCTCCCTTAAGTGAAGTTTACTGCCTGCTCATTCATGTGTCTATCTTTCCCCTTCAATCCTTTGGATGTCATCTGTGTGTTCTTAGCTGGGTCAACCAATGACAGTATGAAGAACAAAATGTTAAACTCACTTTTAACATACCTTTGTTTCATGAATTTCAATCTGATTCTGCAAGTAAGTCTTTATGGGGAGATCTAGCTCGCCATGTTTGATTACATGTATTTATGTCTCATTAGAGTATAAGAAGAAAAACTTCTGGCATAATCAGAAGGAAATTCGTTCATTAAACAATATTATATTGAAAGTGTGCTTAGATAAATTGTCACAGTATTAGACATTCATCATGAATATTCTAAGTGTTATACCTTTGTTTTTTCAGAGGCAGATGTGCAGAGACTGCGAGCTCTTCCAAGAATTGCTGAATTGAATTTCAAGGACAACCCATTAAGTTTCGAGACATACTCTCAGTTTATCACAGTGTCAGAGGTAGTTGTTGTCCACCTCACTCCTCAGGATCCAGAGTTTGATTCTGTGGACTGAAACTTGGGTACTCATTTTTCTTGTTTATGCAGGAGATGGTTTGGTGACATACATGATGTGCCTTCAATTGTACTTATGATATGAAATTGTTTTGTTCTGGGGTTGTTTTTTTTTTGGGGGGGGGTTGTTGCTATAGATGAGTGTTGCTGGCTGGAATAAGGGCTTATGTTGAGTAGATGTTTAACTTATTGGTATGCAGGTTTTGATATGTGTGTTTCTGTATTCTTCTTTCTGTTATTTGTTGTGATGTTGTAAATACTAAAATCAGTAAAACACCATTTGAACAATGCTGCTTCAGTGAACTCCTTCTGTTGCACTTTAAAAAAAAATCTTTGTTTATATCACGCAATTGGAAATGGAAAAGGATCCTCTGAAAGAGTAATTAAAAAAAAAAGATTAGTTTGTGTCATGATTTCAAGAGGAATATTTTACTATTTCAGTGTTTGAAGCCTTTTCATAACAAGATCTGCTTTCTGATAGTATTAGTAACCCACATATGTATATAAAAACAGTGTAGAAAAGTATTTTTTTGTTGTACTATTCACCATGTACAAGGTTCACAAACTAATCATAAGGAGCTCTCATTTTCAATTCAACCTTTCTATTTATGACTAGAATTATGACATCAATTCCCCTCCCCCCTCCCCGCACCACTCCCCACCTTTTTAAATGATCAGTAAAACACCATTTGGTATGATAAGATGAGAGAACAATCAAAATGAATATTTGAACTCCAAACTGTCTCTTGGAATAATGTGAGTGGATGCATAAAGGAAGGGACAGTCAAGGGCAATTAAATGAGTGAGTGAGACTGGGGACAGGAGAGAAAGAAAGAGAAGAGAGGGAGAAGCAAATGTAGAAAGAAAAGAAAAGAAGCTGGTGTGATCTAAAACTTCTTTCCTTATCAGAGTAATAGAAAGAGTAGAAGGTGACTGCATGTCAGAAATACAGTAAAACTCAATGGTGGTATAAGCTCTCTATAGTGACCGTCAAGGATTTGAATAAGACTTGTCAGTGGAATTTCTCAAGGAAATTGGACCAAAAAATGTTTGGTACTACGTCCTAAAATTATTTCTGTCTTGTAATGCCTTTATTGTTTGCACAGAATTTCATATTTTTGTTTTAGGAACTGGTAATAATAATGTTCCTAGTAAATGGCATTATAATATATATTTGGAAGATTTTTCTGAACAACTATGTTTAAATGAATAACAACAGTAGATCTAGATCTGTATTAAAACTAGGACATCCTTTGGTGTTTTCTTTCATCAGAGATTCTATCAGCCCTAAATTTTTTTCCTCAGGGATTTCTCAACAAGGTCAAATTGAATGGGTTTTTTTTCTCTATTCACAAGCTCTTAATAAAATGAACTTTTTAGTGTTGATACAGTCAGTATAGTTTTAATTTTGTACTAAAGTCTTGTGTTTAAGTGTTCGAAATGTACCTAGCAAAATTTTGCCTTGAATGAAAATTGCTGTTATGATTTTTTTTCTCGTTGTACCCAGCTTTTTGAGAGCTTCGGAGTAATTTAATGGTGCTGTCAAAGAATATTCCTCCCTCCCTCTCTCTCTCTCTCCCTCCCTCCCTTTTTTTTTGCTACCAGGTTTTGTGCTGTAGGCTTACAAGGTAGGAGTACGACATTACAAAATATGTTGTGGTGATTTTTATCTTAGTCACAGTCTGAGCTAATTTAAGTTTGTATTATTTGTTTTTTATTTGTTGTATTACAGTAGTCTCCGCCTAAGATCCCGGTGCTCGGGAGCAAAGAAATGCGGGATCTTAGGCGAACCGGGATCTTAACCGACGATACCAGGGAAGAATCTATGGGGACTCATGTTAAGGCTTACAATCAGTAAAATGGTCTCCCTCCACCTTAAAGTGAACTGACGTGACCCCTTGGCGGGTTTATGACGTATGGCGAGCAAAGAGTGGTTATCCCTGATGGCCTATCACAGTGCACAGTGCATAGTGCCATGAGGCGTGCCATTTTCACTTATTATCCTGAGTCTCAAGATCTACGCTTATTCAGTTGCCCCTCCCCTTTACCTGTCGAAAATTTATAGCTTTCCATCTCTGACCTTCCCCAAACGCGTTTGTCGTTACACACCATTACGTCGTGAACACACCAATTAAAATTCAGTCAGTCTAGCAAATTCGGGCGTAGAGACTACTGCTGCAATCAACGCCTACTGCAATGGTCAGGGAAGAGTTCACGGTTCGATGTGACCCCACCTGGAACGAACATGTAGGCCCTACCCACCCAGTGAGTGATGTAAGTTTAGGGGGAAAGCTCAGGTGTGAGTGCGATGCGTGGGGAAAACAAACGCATCGGTCAGTTCACACCCCGGTGTGATCCCGTCGGGGGCAAACATTGTATCGCTTCATCCAGTTTTACAACGTGTATGTGATCACATTCACGATAATGGCTGATCTTTGACGCCACGGACAGTTTATTGATCTCAACTTTTCACTCTTGCTTGATCGGCTGTCCCGCCCGCCTTTTTGTTCCGCAAATTATGATCTGAAATGCGGGATCTTAGCCGAATGTAGACCTTCAGAGTGAATCAGAGCGGGATCTTAGGGGTGACTTTTGTATAGTAAAAATTCTGTTTTCTTAAAACACCGGGATCGTAAGCGGTGGGATCTTAGGCGGAGACTACTGTATAAGTAGATTTATTTGAGCTTGGAATTCCCTATATGCACCACGAATGAAATGAGTGTTCATTTGCTGTTCTAAAATGTTTTCAGGTTAGTTTCCACAGCCTCCAGTTGCTGTACTGTGGGGAACCTGTCAGAGTTCAGGGCTGCAAAGGCGCCTACTAATTTATTGTTTTCTTGAATCAAAACACTGGAGTCACAAAATCATGATTTCTGAATGTCACGATATTTGCTACCACTATTATTATAAGAAGAGTGATCCTATTCTGAAAAATGT